AGAGCAATACCAAAAGCTTGAATAGCTGATAGTGGATAACGATAATCACATGTAAATAAATCTTCATCAACGCGACCAAATTGCATAACAATTTCTTCTTCGTCTGTAATATACACTTTAAATGTATATAAGTAAATATAGAGAAAGAAAGAAACATACGTTTATCGTTTTCCATAATTATCTGAAAATTTTTTACCGATGCTTGAGCTACACGATTACCAGTAAATCGAAGAATATAGGTTTTAGTTTCTAAATAAAATAAAAACTAATAATGAAATTTAAAAAAAAACATGATTCTACCTTCATTATATGTTGGCACTTTGTTTCTTAACTGCATTAAATAACTGAAGCGTCTGTTTCGCCATTGATCAAGAATACCTGGTTCACTCTAAAATAGTTTAAATATAAATTAAAAAAGATTAAAGTATACTCGATGTACTTTTGATGGTCGAATATCTTGTTCTATTTGAGGTATCACCGTAGTGAATTGTCTTGGCCCTTTGAAACCAAGAAGATTGGTATTCTAAATAGAAAAATAAAATCCTATTGTAGATTATTGGGAAAAAACTTCTTGAAAAATTAATGTATGTATCGTTATGAGAAATGTATTTCATATATACTTACATAAATAATACCAACTAATTCTCGTCTTAAACTTTCTCTATTATTTAATTGTGCAGTATTTGAAATTTTATTTGGACTTAAACCATTATCGTAAAGTATATATTCAGTTCCACTTAAATTAATTCCGCGTAATTTTCCTACATAGCCATCACCACCTGATTTTTCTGATAATGTTGTAACATTTGTTGTAATTACAAATTCTGGTTGACGCTTTACTTTTGTTACTTTTCGTGCGGCTAATAGAAAAAACTAAAGAACAAAACGAAAACAAGTTTTTGTTTTTTTCAAAAATTATTATTCTGAAAAAAAAAACCTTTCTTCCATCACCTGGACGTTCAGCTTGTAAATAAAATGTTGGAAAAAAACTTCCCTGTACACCATCTTTATCACGTCGAAGAGAACATTGTACAAATGATGAATAATCTTTTGGAATAGGTGTATAAATAAATTTATTTAGATTTTCTTCCATCGACTTAATTGGATCATATGCTGATGAATTTTCAACAGGAGGTGGTAGTGTCTAAAATTTAATAATCATAAAGTAATGACAATGAATGGATACATACAGAAGGAGATGCAGCAGTAGTTGAAGGTGAAACTAGTTCATTAGATTTTTTCGATTTTGCTGATGACTTTGATGATGATGATGATATTCTACTCGATGATTTCAAAGATTCATTTTCTTTTGATGTATTTAATTCCGTATCAGTAGATTGTTTTTCTATTTTTCATAATGTATAGTATCCAATTTTCTCGAAAAAACTGTTTATATCATACTCTTAGGTCTTGATTTAGTTGGTGGAACATCCCAATCGAGTGATTTTGGTTGAACTGGAGCTGGTAGAGGCTTGAAATTTCATATAAAAAAGTGAAAAATCTATTGAATATAAAATTTCATTTACTTTTAAATTGATTTTTTGATTAGTAATTGATGTAGGTCGTGAATTCTTAGGTTTTTCATCTTCACTGTCTGATCCGATTCTACAATAATTTATTTTAATTGTTAAAAAAAATTTTCACGTTACTGACTGCCATGGATTTCTTGGGCCATTATAAGACATGATGTCAGTTCAAATAACTCTCAACGAAAATGCCGACAATATGTATCCATGTCACAACACTTAAAATTCTTATCTACGTCGTTATGATGCAGAAAGAGAAAGGAAGAAAAAAAAGCATAGAGTAATCAAATGACTAACAAAATGTCTATTTTTTTTCAATGAAAAAGTATGATTTTAATGTTTCCGTTTGTTTGATGGTTTTTGTTAACTACCTTATCGCAAAAGAAAATAACAAAAGAAAAAGTGAATCATGTTTATATTTTTAATATTCTAAATAAAAATATTTGCTTCTACATCATACACGTCTCTACTGCAATAAAATAAAATTGTACAGACATCGTTTTTTTTTGTTTTGTTAAATATTTCTTTGTGGTTGCGATGCTTCTTTCTATATGCATCCATGTGATCAAACAATCATTCACTCATATATAATGTTTTTCCACAAAAATTTCAAAAAAAAAACGATCGAAATATACTTTTCATTTATGTTTTCGTTTTATGATGATGATGACTTGAAGGAGGGGGAAATGAAGGTTTTCTAATAGTCGGTCGGTGAGAATGATTATATGAATCAGTTTGTTCTGTACGTTCACTATCATTTGATCGTTTGTCAAATGTTCGATAGAGTTTATCCGACGCCGGATGAGATGAATGTGAATGTGTTCGAGTTGGTGGTTCATCGATCGGTCCATGATGTTGAGTCGATTGATTTCTATGAGAATTCTTTTTCGTAAGTGATACATGTCTATCTGCTGATAAAGATGAATCAAAATTATTATTATCAGTTGTTGATTTTGTTCTTATTTGATTTTGATTTTGATTATTGGTTCCAAAAACTTTTTCGCATTCTTCAATATGTTTTTTCATTGCATCAGATGATGGACGAGATGATCTATGTGATCGTTCTGTTTGATTATATGATGGATGTACATGATTTGGTGTATTTTTTTCTGCTTCAATTGAAACATACATTTCAGATTCATGTCGAGCAAGTAAAGCAAGTGCTAATTGCATACATTGAACTTCAGCTGCACGAACTTCAGATAATGAACGCCATACATGTTCACTTTTTGTTGGCATTCGAACTTTAAGTGGAAAATCCGGACTAATAAGTGTTACTTCAAGATCTTCAACACGACATATAGGAATTTTATCACCATTTAATGTATTTTTTAATACCATATAACCATCAAATTCTATTGCTTTTATTGGTGGATCACCTAAGAATGAAATGTTTAGAGGAAAAATAAAAATTTTAAAATATTTTTACCACGAAGTAATTTAACATAAAGTATTGTATCATTTCCATAGGTTAACATATAATCATATAAATTTTGTGTTGAATGTAAATAACGTAGTTCAGTTGATCCTTCCGATGCAATCGGACGTATTTCACATGGTTGTTCACTAACTTCAAGAAGAAAATGACGTCTACGTGTTCCACCTTTCGTTGTACAATGAAGTGCACGTACAACACGATTACGTACTAATTGTTCTTCATCAATAACACCTGGTAGAAGAAGTTGTAAAATTGTTGGTTGTTTTCGTTTTGGTACCATAACATAGTCTTGTGATGTTCGTTCACCTTCAGATGGTGTATATTCAACTTCACCTGTATCATCGATTTCAAATTCAACATCTTCTTCAATTTGTTTTATACGACGTTCTATTCGATTTCCATTAGCAACTGTTGGATCTATGTGAAAAACAAATAAATAAATATTGAATTATATTTAATAATTAATAAATTATTTACCATCACTACGAACATGTAATTCAAATGCTTCAATATCTCGTATACATATGTATGAACGTGGAGTTGTTCGTTCATTAGCAACATCTTGTCTATGAATTCTTTCAAGGTCTTTTGTAGTTAATCGATGAATATGACCTTCCTTTTTTGATGTTGCTTTTGATATTACTCTCCATACACCTAATATTTAATAAATCAATCATTCTTTTCGTATATTTATTAAAAATCAAACCAGTATGTTTGCTTGATAAAACAATTTCTTGTTCCATAACATCAAAACGATCACCAGATACTTTACAAGGTGATGCAAGAATAAATTCTCCATTAATTTTTTCTCCAACAACAATAGCTTTATTACCAATTTGTACTTAAGAAATATATATATATATATTTAAATATTGTTTTTTTTTTATCGCAAAAATAATTTACCAAGTGCAGGTTTATGTATAGATGGATTGTCGACAAGACTTCGAAATGGAATTATTCTTTCACTCCAACGAATACGCTCCATTTTTTAAAATATATTTTGTAAAATAAATGCTCACGAAATTACTTTAATTTGTGCAATGAAGCAAAGGATGCACGTTTTTAGATTCTTTCCTTTCCTTTCATTTACAGTCTCAAATGATAACTAACCAACCATATCTTGCAAAATAATATACAAGGAAAATAGAGAAAAATTGTGACGTCAAATGAAGGTGAATCATTTCGTTTTGCATAACCGATATTGATTTTTAGTAAGAGAATAATCATATATCATTCTTGTCAAAAGAGAGAAAATTCTAAATTAGATATACTTAGTCAATTATGATAACATTCAATGAATAGGATATTGAGAAAATGAAAGAATTTCTATGAGAGCACCTTTCAGAAAATGACCATTTGCTTAATTTCATTATATCTTATTCTTTTATTTAAAACTGTATAAACTCAATAGCAGACTTTGAATATTTTGATGATTATGAACAATACCATTAAAATATCATGCCATCAATATAGAAGAAATTCTGTCTTTAACAATCAAACGGAGGATCATAGAATGAACTGTTTTATTAAATAATTCTGAAACATTTATCTGATAATTTTATATTTTAGTTTTTGAATTGATCGTAAAAGAAAAGATTAATCATAATACCAAAATTCATCTTTTATAATGTTATTTCTCTACTTGAATTTTCTTACGCATGAAACAATGCTGTATTTTATAAATTGATAGATAATAATATTTTTCTTCATTGAGGTAAAAACAATGCATGTCTATGACCAAGTGTGCTACAAGGCCAATATAATCGATAAATAACATTAGATGACATACAAAAGAAATGGAATAGACGTGTGAATAATTAAACAACGGATAGGTAACGAAAAAAAATGAAGTAATTAGATATAAAATAACTTGAGCAAAGTATACTTACTGAAGACTATGAGTTAACGATGTATCACCATTACCTGAATCAAAAAATATCTAGATAAAATTGTATAATTGACTTTTTTAAAGATTTCTTAATAAATTATGATAGAAAATATTCAAAATTTTATTTCAACTTAGATATGTTCGTGTTTTCTTCATAGTACAGTACAATATATCAAAGTAAAATTAAGAAACGTTATAGACAATAGCTGTTATTGTTGTCACTACAAAATTCTAGTACTTATATCTATTTATCAAGTGTCACGAACGTGAGAAGACAAAGAAAATATATTGTTGTAATATACATTAGTCAATGGTCAGTCACTAAGGAAAATAATGATTGTCTACTTAACGACATGTGCGAGACATCTGTTCTTCTACTATGATCAATAATATATGTACATATATAGATTGTGAGACATGAATAGTATGTAAAATTAACAAGATCATGAATGTAATATTTTATAATTAATAATTAGCATTAAAATTATTCAACATATTGCAAAGTTACAAATACTGAACCACATTTAATATTCGGTTGACAAGAACATTGTATAATTTATTATACAGCAACTTCCTTCTTTATTGCTATTGTTTATTGAAAGACGAAAAAAAAAGTTACTATTGTATAGAATATTTTTCCTGTTTAAATCAAAAGTTATTTTAAAATGATATTAGTCGATAGACATTTGAACTAGTTTGCCAAGGTCAGAAAAAATAGATTTTCAAATACAATTCATAATGTGAATATGAAATTTAAAATGTAAATAAAATCATTATTATATATAAGACACTGATAAATAGTTAATTTGAAAATGTATTATGTGAATAATTAGATATTGTCGAGTTAAGTAATCTTGTTTTTTTTTAGAAGAAAAAGGAAATGTTTTGAAATATTCATCGTGATATTTTTCTTTCATTTTTCATCAATTGCTTGTTCGAATAAATTCTTATCATTTGATGATTTGACATACAAACACATAGACATGTCTTAACGAGACCTATCGTATTAGATTATCTCATCATCATCTTCATGGCGTAATCAAGATTATTCGATATCTTGTACTATTGTGATGAGCACAATCCAACTGATCAATCAATACATTGGTCACTTTCTTTCTGTCCGTCTGTCTATACATTTGTCTATCGGCTTGAATCCATCCATTGTTAACTGATGAGAAATCAAAAAATGAGAAAGCATATGCTAGAAGTCTTGCGCACGTTGTTGTATGCGATAACATTTTACCGATCGATGAACGTAATCTCCTTTTGTCTGTCTGTCTGCCTGCCTGTCTATCTAAAAAGTGTTCATGTATAGTAAGTCCATACTATATACATATACACAAACATGATAAAAGGTTACATTACTGGATGCAACAGCGTCATCGTGTGAACAAATCATTTCGTTCATAACAAAGACATATACATATACACTCATGAGAACATGATATCAAATAGTGACCGCTCTCATCTATGCTTGATTTAAACAGACAGTTAGACATACACAAACGGAAGGGGCAAGGTCCGGTCAAATACGACGACGTAACAGAGAGAACATTCTTTCTCTC